TTTCATTTTTCTTTGATTCTGCTTTTCCTTTAAAAAATGGAATTTGTCTCACATGGAATTTGTCTCATATAATTACATAATTATCACAACAAATGCTCCTCGAAACAACCATGTAAGGATTTGAGATGATGGTGTTTGTCTTTTATTCTTTATTTTGTTCATCTTTTTCACTCTAATACTCACATGTTTACCTTGCTTGAAGGAAAAGGCAAAAACTTGTTTAGCACGTAGAAGAGGAAAATTTGGCAATGCTATTTTTACACTATAAGTGCTCTGCTATATCTACAGGGAGCTTAGATTTTAGTATGCAACAGCAAAAGTTACTAGATGATCAGTCTTACGCTGGAAGATCAAAGTGTTTTTTTTTTTTGTTGGGTCAACTGTTTAACTAAGAAACTAAGAAGGAATAAAAATATAATAGAGCAAATCCAGTCCTGGAACATAGTTTGGGCAATGTAAAGTTTGTGTCCGTACATACAAGCAATTAACCTGCCTTTGTAAACATATTTGCTTTGTTCCCCTCCTACTTTTCCATTAAAAATAGTTTGTTATTGGTGATCTTTACAAGAGAAAAAACCCACATCATCTTTTGTGGTGAACTGGAAAAGCCAATGAGTGTACTCATTTAATTAGAGAGACTGCATCTGCCTTGGAAATGAACAATGAAAACTTTACTTTGTTCGTTCTGAGAAGATTCCAAGAAATGAAATGGGCACAACTTATTAGTAATGAAAACAAGAGGTGAAACTAGTTCTGAGCGTTTATATAATTTTAGTAGATTTTGTATCATTCCCTATCTCTTTATATGCAACCTTATTAACTTGGCCTTGATTCTGGGGAAGTGATTCCAATAGTCTTGACTTAAATTGTAATTTGTACAGATTCCTTCATTGAAGTAAAAACTGAGGCAGACTTTTGGGGCATGATCAGTATCCCCAAACTTGCCCCAGGTAAATTAAGAATAATGAGAACAAACACAACATCTTACTTATCCAAACTGAGAGCTTCCAGGAAGGAGCCCAGAGACTGAATGGAATTGGATTTAGGTGTGCGATATAAGATATCTTGAGTCTTATGAAATCTGATTCCAATATTGTAAACCAACTTGTGGTATCATCAGATTATTCTTAAATGTAAAAATAGAAAAGTTGAGATGAAAAGATATATACATCAGTTGCACAAAAGTGTTGAGCTCTGAATGAATTTGAATATAATTTGAAGTTCACATATTTTTATGTGAGTAAACTAAATATCATTGCAAGTTCTAAAAAAATAAAATGAAGAAAAACACTGAAGTAAAGTCATGAGTTATACTCTTATAATACAACTGTGAACCATTTTTGTGGGCTATAAATGAATAATAGCTACGCTTGAACACAACGTGTCTTTACATATTCAAATGAGGAATAAAACACATGGCACTTTACAAATAAGAATGGAGTAGAGAAAGATGTGTTTATAACCTAAACCTTTACATTTTACTTTTACTGTGGCACTAGCAACATCCTCAGCAATTAACCAAAAATGTGACTACACATTATTATTCAGCAAAACATGCGTCTCATTTGTAACGCTGTGGGAAGAGTACAGAAGGCTGGAAGGTTCCAGCCTTCCTCACACTTATTGAATCTAAAATAGACAAGATAGTATAAAATTCTAGATGTATTCTCTCTGAATTAATTTTTATAACCCAACTGAATAAGGTCTCTAAGATATGTAAATCCTAAACACTTCAGAAATAACAAATCATTTCATCATGGAAGATTATTGGCTTAAAGAAATGAACATGAAGACTTTACATCTTTATATTGCTTGCTATTAAACAGGCTACTGAAAATATTTCACTAAGTGCACTCTAACCTCACGTTAATGCTGCCAAAATACCTGTACTTTTATATACTTCTAGAGGGGAAAATTCTTTAAGAACGATGTCTTTTTCTAAAGAGAAGCAAATTTGCTAGATTGTTGCAGGTAAATCTAAGACCTCTCCCGGATAAGGCATCATCTCCCGGAAGTGTGAGTGTGTTTGTGAGTGTGGGTGTCTAAGTGTCAGTTAGGGGAATTGGAGGTGAAGAAGCAACAGGATTAGCTCTATGCGGTAAATATTATAATTAGCCCTAGCAGAAAAATGGAGAAACAGACTTAAAAGGCGTAACAGAGTCAGAGCCGGATGACACGTAGAAAATGCGTCCGTTCTTCAAAATCCTTAATCTGTGACTCCAAAGTTCAAGAAGTTTAGGAATACAGGTGTTTTAAAATGTACCTGGGATTGGTTACAATCAAGTATTGTAAGCAAGTTGTTTCAATCCAGTATTTGTTTCAATCAATCAAGGCAGACAGCTGCCTTGAAAGAAGAGTTTATCACTTCTAGTTCCCAAGTCATACCACGCCGGGCCACAAGGGGACGAAGCAAGGTAGGTCAGGAGGAGGAGGAGCAAGAGGGAGAGTGTGGGCCAGAGCAGCTATTGTACTGTTTTTTCAGGAAGACATGGGCAATGCAGGGAGAGCAAGCTGAACAAGTTTAGGATTGGGTCATTTGAAGAATTTCTATAGGCTCTGAACTGGAGGGGTGGTCCCTGGTTACAGTCCCTGGTCCTGGGGTGACATAGGGCAGAGACAACATCAGGTTGGTATGCGAGAGAGAGTTTGGTAAAGGAGGTAATTGGGGGGCATGCCCTCTGGATGGGTTGTTTGCACATCAAAGATGAGTCCCTGTGTAAAGTGTTTGCTCTCACTAGGAATTAGCCAACCGAAGGACAATCCCTTCCCAGCATCTGAAGACCCCAAGATTCCAAAAGCATCTTTTGACAGAGAAGATAAAAAACATGGTTCATACAAGATAGCCTATGTATTAATTTTTTTAATCTTTCTTATTGAAGGACAGTTAGCAGACCATGTTACATTGGTCTCAGGTGCACAACTTAGTGATTTAACAACTGCATACAATGCTCACCATGCTAAGTATAGTTACTATTTGTCACCATACAAGTTACTAGGATATTATTGACCATATTCCCTATGCCTTACTTTTCATTCCCATGATTTCTTTATTCTATAACTGGAAGTTTGTATCCCTTAATCTCCTTTATCTGCTTCACTCATCCCCTATCCACAGCACCCCTCCAACCACTAGTTTGTTCTGTGTATTTATGAATCTGTTTTTGTTTGTTGGTTTGTTTTGTTTTTTAGATTTCACATATATATGAAATTATACGGTATTTGTCTCTCTTTGTCTGGCCTATTTCACTTAGCACAATGCTTTCTAACCCCATCCATTTGTCACAAAGGGCAAGATATCGTTCTTTTTTATGACTGACTAATACTCCATAGTGTATGAGTATGTGTGTTGGCGGGGTCTGTACTATATCTTCTTTACCCATGCTTCCACAGACAGACACTTACATCGCTTCTATATCTTGCCTATTTTAAATAATGTTGCAGTAAACATAGGGGTTCATATGTCCTTCCGAATTAGTGTTTTTATTTTCTTTGAGTAAATACACAGCAATAGGATTACTAGATCATATGGGTCATTTCCATTTTCTATAATTCATTATCATTATGTTACAATGGACAAGAAAGTTAATCATACATAATAACTTATTTATTTGTAATTAACAAATTAAATTAGAGGAATTCCTATAGCTTAAATATGTCCAATTTATAGGAATGAGATTAATATCTGTACTTAAGTAGGTTTGATGCACAAATCCATATATTAGTATTTAATTAAAAAAACACAGTGTAAGGTAGCAGTTAACAATAAAGATGCTCAATTCAGAGAGAACCAAACTCAAGTCCCAACAGCTCCTAGTGCAAGTTACTTCACTGGGCCTCTCTCTACATGCGTGTAATGGAGCTTTTAATACATACCCCATAGAGTTAATGCATGACTTAATTGGACAATATCAAAAAGTTCTTAACCTTGTGCCTGTATTACTAATTTAAAATTTAGGATTAATACTATTATTATTATTATTATCATTACTATCATTATATAGTCATTGAATATCAAATTACTGTTCCTATCAACTTTAAAAAATTTTAAAAAAATTCTTGTAGGACCACTAAATGGATTCACCACATAAAGACACAGAAGCTTAGGCAATTGTTTAAATGGTGCAACTCTCCTCTTATTTTCACCTTAATTATCTGAAATTTTTAAATGAAATACTTGGGTGAGGAGTAACAAGCAAATTGCTTCAACTGGAACAACTTTGTCTACCAAAATAGTCATAGTTCTTGTAAGGAACACAAGAGCATAAAATGGCTGGACTTATGCACAGCTCTTTTTTCTTTTTTCTTTTTTTTTTTTTTTCTGGATTCACTATGATAATCTCATCTATCTCATGGGTTCATCAAGTTCGAATGGGGGGAAAATAACATTAATTCCATCAATCCCACAAATACCATCTACTTCAATCTTTAGAGTCATACCCAAAGATCTGTTTCTCTTTTCTTCACCATCTTCTGAAAAACTGTTTAATTCATGTTTATTTACCATCATTCTGTATCTTCTATAAAGGAATTTTTTAAAAAGTGGGGGGGGGGGAGTAAAAAAGTGGAAGAAATAAAATAGAAAAAGCTCAAGTGAAGTATTTTGCTGTCCCTGACCTTCGTCAGTGAGGTTATTTCTCAAATTTACATGAAGACTTATTATCATCTTGACTGCAATCATGCAGAAAATGAATGGGGTATAAAGTACATGAGGGTAATTTAATAAGACGAGCTTTCTTTTCTTGTGAAATCTTTGAAGAAGAGAATCATTAGACAGAGACTTGCCTTGCATTCACCCCGGTCATGAGGCATGTCAGCCTGGTGATGTGCCTTTGGCAAGAAGTCCTTAATTAGAAATTCCTTGAGAGCTGCTCCCAGTAGGTGCTTCCTAAGACAGAAAGACAAAATAATCTAGCAGGGAAGCCCTTACTAAGGATATAGCAGCCGGGCTCAGGTGAATGAAAGAAATAATTTGCTGACAGCAACAGAGCAAATCTGTCAGAATGGGGTGCTGGATTTTGAATGAGAGTCTCTCCATCATATTAGTAGTAAGTATCACGTTTGTTATTCAAGTTTAAATATATATATTAGACAGTCTTTGACTTTTAAGATAATTTGTACAGGAATGTTAAATAGCTTGAAGTATTACTTTGGTAAAAGACTAAAACTTGTTAGAAAACATTCAGTAGATGTATTTAATTTATCCTTACAGAATCATGTTTTTCGACTGAGTTCATTTTTAATTATTTTTAAAGTCAAGTAGTTTGTTTTTGCATAATGTATGAATGTTTCTCTAAATCAGATGAAGTCTTTGAATTAGAATATGAAATTGGAAATTTTCTAGAGTACTTTCTGAGTTGTTTTTAAAGATTTCCTCCTTTTGCCATCATTGATTTAAAACACTAGAGTGATGTTGATTAGGAAGGTTTTGTACTTTTCATTAAATTCCTTAAAGTATACCATATGTGTTTAAAATCTTTTTTATAAAGTTAACAATTTATTAACATTGTAATCACTGTTAAAAACTGATCTACGAGAAATAAGTGTAGAGTAAATCTGATTAACGCTGAGAAGCTCTTCATTTCACTTTAAAAGAAGAACCCAAGTGATTTTGAACAGAAGAAAAGATTGAAGATAGTATTGATTGGTCTCTTTTCATTCAACACTAGCTCTTGTGGCTGGGAGTGAATTTATATCTGTTTATTGACACATTCTGTTGGTATGAAGAGGAAGAATCTTTCCTTTACACGCGTGTTATTCTGGGTGTAAGTAGAGTTGGTGACTACACATTATCATTTCGGAAAACGTTCTGTTTTCCCCAGCTTCCTTACTCTCACTGCATCTCTTTCCTGTGTCTTTACATGTGGACAGTCAACGTTGGCTTGGGCACGAGCATCTGCAGTGTGTCTGAATTTTAACTGCATGCTGATTCTGTTACCAATCAGTCGAAACCTTATTTCATTCATGAAAGGGACAAGTACTGTAAGTACTAAAATATTTGAAATAATTTCCATTGTTTTAATGTCCTAATATAAGCACCATGGAAGATAAAGATGTATTTTACTGTGAAATTCCTAATAATCCTGTTTGAATTAAAGTTGGTTTCTTTGTAAGAGAGAACATAGTGGCTAAAACTGAAAATCAGGAATCAGTACATCTGGTGTGACTTCTGATCTTGCCTTTCCCTCCCTCCATGACATTGGAGTCATTGCTCAGCCTTTCCCTGATGTATTGGCTCCTCTGGAAAAAGATGGGCGATAGAATTGACCCGACTCGCAAAGATGGAAGTATTATAATAGTTTCAACTGTTCAATTTCTAATTGAAAGGAGAAAAATAAGCACTTGAGCCAAATGTCACTAAGGATGCATCTTTCTGAGCTCTCTGCCCAGGAAAGCACAAGCACAGTGCACAGATTTCAGTATGTAGACTTTAACCCCTACTAGACATAACAGGACATTTCCTAATTATATTGACTTCAGTGTGTTGGGTACCGTGTTTCCTGCCGAACAGAGTAATGTGCTATAGAGAAAAATGAGAATGTCAATAACCCTAACTAGATGAGATAATTTATGATATAATCATCATCATAATTTTATGAATATTTAGAGGTAGATGACTATAGTGCTGCTCTTTGTGTAATAAGGAATAGTTTACAGACTGCTTAAACCACATCCATGAGAATGACAGTTTCCATCTTCATTTCCTAAGACTAGTTGGAGCATGGAGATTAGCAGGTTTATTCTAGAATTTGGACTTAGAGTCAGGGAACTATACTATCTCATTCAGTTTTACTGAGTTAAAATGTCAGCAAAGCCAGTAATAACCATTTGGTTTTACCTCTGGGACTAATTACTGGCCACTAACTTCTGAGCCCCATTGCCCGACCTTCAGGAATGTAGACAGAGGGAGTGCCTGAGTCCTGCTCTCTTAGCTCTCAGGATGCTGTCATCCATGATTCTTCTCCAAACAAGACTTTTATTTTCTGTCACTCCAGTGCTGCAGAGGCCCATGGAGGAGGCAATTAGATAAAAATCTCAAATTCCACAAACTGGTCGCCTATGGGATAGCTATTAATGGAGGTAAGAGCTTCTTACTCATCGCCGAGTGCATTTTATAAAATCTAATGTTTAACTTCTAAGTTTTGCTTTAGTTCCTCCTCCGCCAAAGGCTCACCCTTAAATAAATCTTTGCCTTCCATTTGACCACATAAACCTTATATAAATGGATTTTTAAATTTCTAGTTTAAACTCTTGCTGTCTTCCCTACCAAGCCTTCAGTTTGTCAAGGAAAAGTTAATGAAACTCCATTGTCATTTGTGAATAATTAAGCTTGTTGAGAAGACAACAATAAATACCTATTTGCAAAATGAATACTGTGCTACTCAATATAATTCACACTGGAAATAAAACTGACCTATACTCAAAATCTCATTCACGGGCGTAGGAAAATGGTATCATAGGCAGTAAAAGAAAAAAGAAAAGTAAGAGCAGGTGAAGAGGGTTCCGGATAGTATTGAGCCAGTGGATAATAAAAGACTTTGAAAAGATACAAGGCTTTAGAGCATATATAGTGTTATTGTTATTTCTTGAATAAGAAGACAGGAGAATTCAAGAAAAATACAATAAAAATTAGCATCCAGGGCCAAGGTTAAACTCTGCGGAGGAAAAAAAGAAACCGAGCAATAACTAACTCATTTGTGGTTTTGTTGGACAACAAATACATGGAAATGAAAGGCTATCTGCACAATGAGGACTTATGGTTCAGGACTGTTTCCCCCAAACTAATTTAACTATAAAACGTTTTCATCATTTGCTTTTATCCTCTCATGCATAAAAAACAGCAGAATAAGAAGAACACTCAAAACAAATGTGGATTTAATTAAGCAACAAGACATGTGTGCCCGAGTACCAATTAACACAACTTTGGGTGTGCAGTGAGACATGTGGGGAGATTTCCCCATCTATTGTCCTCAATGCCAGATTAAACCAACCCAGGAAATGTTTGCAAATGGTTTTTGCAGTTTGTTAAGAAATAAGGGTAAAGAAACATCATGTCCCAGAGAAAACCAGCCAAGGGATGGAGGGCAGAGAATAAGCTAATGCATCTTAATGTCCAAGGCTACTTGGGCTACCATCTACAGAGGTGCCAAAAACCTTTGCTGTATGAGTTGAACGCATAAAGGAATGAAGACTCAGGGAAGCAGATTACAGCTCAGATATGGAATCATCCAGACCTTAAAATTGGAATGAGTTTCCCTGAGAATAGAGAGTTCCCTCTCGTGGGTGTTGTCAGGGCAAGGTCCAGACCGCTCCTTGGAAGATTCTTCAGAAAAGGAATTCAAGGATTCTCTAGGTTTCCTTTAAAATTGTGAGAATCTTGAATTCCTGTATTAAAAGAGCAGATAAAAGACAGTAAAATGGCAGGAAGGATATTATGACTATGCAATAGGATTAAGGCAAAACTAAACTCTAAGAGAAAGAGAGAAGGAACCAAAAAAACCCACAGCATCGAAACACATTATAAAAAAAAAGCAAAAATAAATAAAATAAAATAAAGGAAAATATGTTCTGCAATAATTTTGTCCTTAAACCCTTGGGTATGTATATTTCTTTCTGTGTAATCATATATCAATAGGATAAATGCATCAGTGATGTGTACTGAATGTGTCCCCCATGTGCAAGATACCCTAAGAGAAGCTATAACCCGCAAGTAGCGTAGGCACTAATAATTTAGCAGGGAGAGCAGTTAACTGTTAAAATAAAATAAAATAATTTGGTTTTTATTTTTTTATTTTATTTTATTCCCCTGCTACTGATTGGTCCTGTGATCTCAGATAAGTTTTTTAAAAAGCTTTTTCTTTTACGAAATTAAAAGAACAAGAATACAATCTATCCATCTCTAGATGTGCAGACTAGTTGTCAGGATGTCTCTTGGAAACCGGAGACTACGAGGCCATCGGCTCGCCACTATTGCAAAGAGAATCACCTCCAAGTCTAGCATGGCTAGCGGGTTCCATTCTGTGAGCCCTGCTCCCTCCTCCACTCCCATCTCTCTCCATACCCCCTTGCTTCTTCCCTTGGCAATGCCCAGCCACTGGGTCCCTGAGTAGTCTGTGACTTTGCTCCTTTTACCCCCTTCATGTTAAATGCTCTTCCTTTCCTTCCTCAGTAGATAAGGTGTTGCCATATCTGGGACTCCCTGCCTGGCCTGTCTTCCCCTGACCCTCTGGGTCTGAGCTCCCAGCCCACCTCTCCTGCCTGCCCCTGTCATGCCTCCTACTACAGAGTAAAATTTCTCCAGACTCTGATCTCCTCAGGGGCTGAGATGGGCCTTACCTGGCTTGGCTTTCCCAGCCCCTGTCATATAAATCCTCAACAAATTTGGTCAAACCCGAGGATGAGCAGGAGTCAGCCAGCTGGCAAAAAATTGGGGGAATTTGCAGGAAAGGTACAAGACCATGCAGAAGTTGTTCAGGGACCCAGCAGCAGCTTGGAGAGGGGGGCGGGGGGGGGACAGGGGAGGAAACAGGATGTAGGCAGGGAAGAGATGAAGAGATTCAAAATGATGCTGGTTGTCCAAGATAAATTCACATTCTGCGGCAACAAGAGGAAGCAGCACGCTCTTCTCCCTCCTTCCCTCACAAATCCCTGGAGAGAATCAAATACCACTCGGGGGGTCTCTTCTGCTTGAATCTCCACTGCTTTGCAGGGATCCCAAACATCCCTGGGCTCTAAACAGCCCCCCACACCCCCGCAGGGTCAGACTGTTTCTGAGAGCAAAGCACTTATCCCCCACCACCGTCCCCCACCACCATGGCAACCAGCAGCGCAGGGCTGTTTCCATTCCCAGCAGAGGCAGGAGGGTGGGGAGAGAGCTCTCTGCTTCTCCAAGCCCTGACATAGCAATTATTACATTTCACACTAACTAAGAAATGCGGCTGGCAACTGCGCTTTTAGAAGAAAAAAAAAAATGCTATGCCCTGGTTTCGTAGATATCCCTTTGCTTTTCACATTTCGTCCTTCTGGTGTATTCACTTGGGAGCCGCTGAAAATGTCCCCGTGCTTATTTTATTAGCATCGCCCATTATGCCACTTTTCAAATAGCCGACTGGCTTAATAGAGGTGTGTAACCTTGGAAGAAGAGGATCCGTATCGAAGTTTGCGTGCCAGCCCCTAATTTCTCATCCGTTCCTCTATAAGTTGAACTGCAGGCTTTAATTGGTCAAATCATTAAAGGATGTAATTAGAGCCTGGTGGAAGTAGGCTGGGGAGGAGGAGCGAGACAAACAATGCTATCTATAATCAAGGGCATCACCGAAAATGCAGTGACAGAAACTCTTCTCCTGGCTTCCTGCCTTCCCACTTGCCTGCCTATGATAAGAGCCTCTGGAGCATTCTTCAACCGCTAACAAATCATTTTCAGGGACCTATAACCCCAGTGGTATAAAAATTCCAGCCTCACAGCCCCTTCGTTCTTATGAATGTGGATCCTTCTGGACTCCGTGGTCCAGAATGGACCTTAAAGATCTTCCAACTGAATAGCAGTTCTGTAAGCAAGATCGTTCTTCAAAGGCAGCTGTGAATAGTGACCCAAATGGCTTACAACTGCTCAGCTGGGGGAGGGGCGCGTGGCGGGGTAACAACTACCCCCAGGCAGCTCCTGATGCGCTGCTAAAATTAGTTTATATAGCTCAATAAACATAAGAGACAGGTTGATAGGAGTGCACTCAGAGGAAAGGTACTGAAAAGAAAGACTTGGAGACCCCAGGATAGAAGCCCAAATTCTTCAGGACCAGATTGTTAAAGAATTGTTACTAATCCAGTTCCGCAAGAAGCATTGGGACCTCCAAGGAGGCTGTCTCCCCTGTCCTGTCCAGCATAACTGAGCTTGATTTACAAATGAGTGGCGTGCAGTAGTCTAGAGTGCCAGAGTCCATGTGCATTCCTGCGGAAATCAGACCGCAGACTTAAAAGTTGGGGGGCCAGGCTCTGGCTGTAGATGCACAGCCAGGATTTGTCCCTGGGTCCTTATTTCTGACGGTTGCTTAATTAGGAGGTGACTAACTCCAAAATGACTGTTATCACTGACAGGCAGGCAGAAAGATAGCAAGAACTGACCGCCCTTCCAAGATTCTCCCTCAATTATGCTTCCTTTGATCTCCTGAAAAATAAAAAGAAGGAAAGAAAGAAGGAAAAGAAACTTTCTCAGGGCAACTGGCTCTAATTGTAGCCTTTATGATTTTTTTTGTTCGCTCTTCAATAAAAGCTCCTTATTTGAACTCAGAAGTTCACACACCAATTAAATGTGCATTTGTGGTTTGTCCAAGACTGCTGCTCTCTTTTAACTGTAAAAGTACTTTGGTGAGAAAATAGGATTGTGAAAAGACCCAGTTATAGCAACTTTTAGCCCTAGCATTTGGGTGGATTCTGGAAATGTGTATCTCGGGCTTTTCTACGGGCTGGGCAGAAAGTCCTCAGGGGTACGGGGAAGAGCCCACTGGCATAAATGATGGCATGGGATTCGCTACAAAATTAAAAGTCTGCTTAAGCCAGTGTTGCTTTTGAAAACATTAAAACATGTGTTCCGTATTTGCATCACTTTTCCATTAGAGTACAGACCCCTTTGGATGATAAATGTCCCCAGTTAATTTTGAAGGAGGCACAGGAGCCTGACTGCTGGAAAGGAACCAAGATATCATCTCGTTTCCGTTCAGTCCACCCATTTTACAGATAAGAAAGATAAGAAAGTGGGCTGAAAGTAAAGAACTGAGAGGTGTCCTTCTCAGTGTCTTTCCAGCTACATTTTAACAACTCTAGTAACAGGATAGGATTCTGATGAGTGAGAGAGAAGAAAGTCCAACCCTATCACCATTGGATCACTTGCTTGGAGAAACAGGCACTGTCAGTGTAGATAGCATGGCTATTCATATCAAAATTACTGAAGCGGAGCACCTGGGTGGCTCAGTCGGTTGAGCTCCTGGCTCTCGTTCTTGACTCAGGTCATGATTTCAGGGGTCATAAGATCGAGCCCCATGTCCAGCTCTCCGATCAGCAGGAAGTTAGCTCTCTCCTTCTGTCTCTCTCTCAAATAAATGAATCTTTAAAAATAATAAAATAACTGAAGTGTTTAAAGGGAAGAATGGAACATATAATGTCTGAAAAACAGCAAAATCAGTATCTCCCTGGGCATCTACCAAGTCCCAGCAGCCATGGAGTTCGTGGGTGGGGTACCGTTCATTCGAAACCAAGATCACAATAAAATTAGGGTCCAATGTCAGAGGAAATAAAATGTTTAGACAAACCAAATGGGCACAAGTAGTTTTCCTTCTGAGAATTCCTGAGATGAATGAAACAAGATATTCTACTTGTTATCTTATTACCTGTAAAAAAGAAAACAAAATGGAGGCTGTTGGAGCAAAGGAATAGTTCAGACATGAATTTTAAAGTAATGAAAAAAAAGCTGGGAAGAGTAGTTCTCAACAGATTCCCTCAGGAGCTACCTCCTAAAAATTATCCTGGGTTTTCTTATACTACTTCATTAGCTTCCTCAGCTCTGTTATAGGAGACCCGGCAATAAGAATAAATAAATAGTTCAATATCTTTGCTCATTCAATAAATGTACTTAAATCTAGTTTAACAGTGTCAAATTCTCATGTGGAAATCAATCTAATAGGAAATAGATTGTGATCAACAACTCCTCACACAGGAGGAGAATGTTATGGAATGCAGAATATAAAAGACACAGAATCTGTCCTGTACTTCCTTTCTGGATGTCACAGATTATGGAATCAGTAAGTGTTGGCACTTGATTTGGCTTGAAGCTCAGTATCCGCTTCTGTAAAATGGGAACAGCTCCACTCTGTCTGGTGTGCTTTAGTCCGTGGAGGAGAACCGAGGACAGCCACAGGCAGAAGGATGAGGGTAAAGGGGCAGAGAGTAAAAGGAGAGTTTACACCCACCTGCAAAGAGGACTCCAAGGGTTACAGTCGGTCTTAGGAGCTGTTTGACTCTAAAGACACCAAGTGAGCCATTCAAAGAGTTTTACCTAAGCCACAGGAGAAACTGGTTTTCAATAAAGCATAACATTTATTGAAGTGAAAAGAAGCAATATAACTTAAAGGTAAAAAATGGGGCTCAGGATTCAGGCAAACAGGGTTTATTCCACCTATGCCTTTAATGAACTACAAGTGCCATTAACTTTTTGAATCCTGGTCTGTCAAATGGCAGTAAGGCTAATACCTGAGTATTAAGTGAGATAATACGCCCAAAACATCTATAATGGTGTTTGGAGTATAGTAAGTATTCAGTATCTGTTAGCTATGAGAAATAGGACCTGTTTAAAAAAAAAATTATGCTGATTGTCAGAAAACAGTAATTAGGAATACTGCTAAAGATGTTTGCATTCAATTTACCACATGGTTTTCATTTCATATATAGCATATAGGGAGAGATGACTTCTAGACAAATGTTTCTAGCTTTGTGGACACTGAGACTATACAAGGCAGTCCTGCATAGACACCACCACATTAATGGACAAATGGAACATAAGGAAGAAGTACAATGACCTTTTGGTGCTACTCACACCATACCCATAAGGAGACAGTTAACATCATGGACTCAGAAATACCACCGTGCTTTGCCTTCTTAGTTGAGCTTCAACTAAAGGCATATTTGAAGTGATTTCCAACTTTAAGCCTGTAAGAAAATGTGCAAAAAAAAAGAAAAAGTATTAGCAGGGAAAATAGTACTCCAGTACTGTTGCAGCTACAGACAACCAGCTGACCCTTCCTCCCTTCCTGTAAACTCATTATCACTCAGCAAAATCTTATTCAGTACATACTGGTAGTAAGCAATGTGCCAAGTGTTAAGGTTATAGATGTAAATAAATACTCATAACAGGAATGTCTAGGAAGTGTTATAATTAAATCATTGCTGTATCATTGGCATCATTGGTGCAGTGAAATTGAAAGATACTTGATAGAAAACAACTTTTGAGCTGGGTCTTAAAGCACGAAAACAACCTTGCTGGTCAGAAAAGGGAATGGCTCTGATCAAAGAAAATCAGGGGACAGAGAGTAAAGCTAAATGGCAGATGGCGTTTCTAAATACATCTGCTCTTAGGACTACGGGGACCAGAATGCCACCAGTATTCTCAGAAGTCTCTGCCGTTCCTTCTTCCTCCACTCCCCGCACCTCAACCCACAAAGTACAGCCATGGAGGATTCCAGAATTTGCCTACAACGTGTAGTGACTATATGAAATTAGCAGCCACTGCTGCTTTTCATGGTGGGGCGGGGGGCGGTATCAACTGGGGAGTTATCTACACCCTGGGTAATGAATTCTCATTTCACACTTGAATCTGATCCCAATGGCTGGCATCAACGGGTCACCCAATAGGGTTTTCATCTGCGGGAAAAGCATCAGGAGGAGGTCCTTGTCTGGATGTTGTGACTGCTAGCTTCCCCACAGATTTTGTAAGACAGAAAAGAGTGGCATTGGGCACAGACTCCTCAGGCTAAATTATGCTGTGTTCCTGAGCAAGTTCTCCTCATTTAGAATTTAGACATCACCAATTCTCAGAATTAGAAAGCTGAGTTTTCTTCTTAAGAATATACCGAGAGGATTAGTTCTATAAATACTAACTTATTTCAATCCTCTAGGAATAACACATGCAAAGATAGTGTATATATGTGTATGTGTAGAAGTGACTATACATATACACTGAGATATATAAAGGAAGAAAAGAAAATATAATGTCTGAAAGAGAACAAAAACTCTTCCCTGGTATCTATCCTATCTGTCATATGCACAGATGTCCATGGATATGATACACAGTACTCAAGAATAATGCTCTGTGATTGCTCGGAAAATATATTACATAAGATATGAAATACGGAATCCATAGACATATGTATAAAACAGAATGTGTTCTATATATAATATGGAATTTTATATATAATGGAACATATATATATAATTATGTTGTGATATCCTAATACCTATTCCACTTACAGAATGAGCATATGTTTATAATTAAATTATGGGGAATTGAGATTTACTTTATTTCTTCCTATAATTAAAATGGATGTGGCAAGTCACAGCATGCCTTTAGAACAATTCAATCCACTCTATTCAAGATACTGGGAAAGATGCACAAATAAATCACTCTTTGGAGATTACACAAACCAGAACAGAGAAACTTGACCATGGAGGCATTGCATTTCTGAGTAGCCACAAAGGAAGAAATCCGTATGGACCATGTCTGATCTCACCTCCTCAACCGTAGCCATCCACATCATCGCCCATTTGTGCAACCTACAGCGTTACCACTGGAGCCAGTCAGCTCAAGCAGAGGGACTTCCAGCCGCTCTTTCCAAACTTGGCGATGCCCCAAATGAGAGCTACCTCAACCCCATCCGGACCTTCCACACAGTGAGTCCTTGCATGCTACCTAGTTTCTCATCTGAAAAGTCCTTCCTTTTCCCGTGGCGTTATCAGGAACACTGTGTTTCAAAAAGCTATTAATAAAAGAGCTGGAGAGAAGTTTCTGCCAAATGTTAACATCAATTTCACCATTTTCTTAAAAAGCTATTTTTTTCATAAATGTTGCTAAGAGGTTATGAGCAAGAAGAAAAACTGATGCCACTTAATTAGTTTATAGAAAAACATAATAAATACACCTAAACAGAAAATACAATAACCTGTTAAAACCCTGATATTTTAAATTTTAAAGCAGCTCATGATTCATTACATTTTTGTTGGTGGTGGTGTTGGAATCATAAAGAGCGTGAAGTGCCCTCTACATCCATGGATTAAAAACTGGATGTCTTCATCTTCAACTCACTAAATTGTTTTTGGATCTCTTCTCCCATACCATATTTTGGCACACATGGGGCTGGCTGATCTGCCAAATCAGATACTGGGCAGAGTAGCTAATTTCATAATGGGGCCTGCACGGCTAGTGACATCATTCATGCTAATTACCTGTGTGCATGGAGTGGCAGCACATGTGGGAAACAAAACCAAAAATGTAGCTCCAGAAATCCACCTGTGGAGATAAAGATATTCCTCTCCTTTCCTCCACTCTTACCCCTTTTGTCCTGGTTGATCGAAATATCGGGTCACAAATTACCCCACTGGAATAGGCATACAGCGTGTTGAACAGGCTAAAAAAAATCAGTATTGTTCAAGAAGAATCCAAGACAATGCACTCCAGCCGTGGAAATATCTCTTTCATGACCGTTTTGCCTATGCAGCCTTTTTTGAAGAAGCAACATTCAGTCTCTTTGGGGGAAAATTCTTCCACGGCATGTCCCTAATTATCCTAAGATGATTTCCAATATCAGGCCATTAATCAAGGAGAGCTACATTTTCTTAGCAGACAACAATCAGAAGCCCAAGTTTCAAAGTTATAAGTCAAAAACACAGATGCTGTAAGCCTGTGGGAAGACCTTTGGGGTCCCTCGTTTGAGCCACAGTATTTATGTTGGCACCTACTTGGGTGAACACTTTTCCCTACTAAGTGTTCTGGGGTGAACGCTTTTCCGCACTGAAGCTCATTGTTACAGACAACCAAGAATAAACCTCCGTATTTTGAAAAGATGATACAGTGAATAATATTTATTAGAAGGACTTTGAAAGCAATTTAACAAGATAATTAAGTTACTCCCAATATAGTTTTCTCAAAATTTTAGAAGCAATATACTATGTAAGTGTTAATTAAGTTCAAGAAACCCTCTACTTTAGGGTATTTGGAGAAAGATCAATAATACAAATTGGTACATTTGGAGAAAGTACCCATAACACCAAGTGTGCATTATGGAGTATTTTTAAAGAGATGCAGTGGGATTTCTTTAGAGGGTACACGGCTGCGCAAACCAGTCTACAAAAATATGTTGCAAGAAAAGGGAAGTGGGGATTTGCCTTAATAAGCAAAGAAGGATGATTTGAAATTAGCATAGCCTATGATATAAATGGATTTCTAAAATGCCTGAGTACACTTGCAAAAAAAATATATCTTTTAAATGTTTTAGACATACCCCTTTCCATTTTATTTCAACTATTTGCTCTATGAAGGAAAAAAAAAATAAACAAGGAGAAGTCCCTACCCAAATTACCTTGAGATCTCAAAGCAGCCCAAATTAATGAGATTTTACTGACAAAAGATACAGTGTGAGTTTATTGAGCTCACGGTTGGTCGTCTCAACGATAGTAACACAACGTATGAATACTAATGACTTGGCAAGGGTATGGAAAACTCACAGTAAATACAAAGTGCTTTGTGATTCATATTCTAAAAGGCTCTTTAACCATCCCTTGCACTGACAGGTCAGAATGCCAGTCTTTTGGCAGTGTCTACCAGATAAGAATAGCTGTATCTTTATTGATCACCTAGGATTTACAAAGCCTTATTCCAAGCCTCCTGAGGTGGCATGAAAGAAATGCAAGTCATGGTCCTTCCAATTAAAAAGCAAGAGCAAGGAATAACTACCAGGGGAACAGAATGTGCAGCTGCTTTATTAGGAATGCCCCTGAGGGATCTCTCCAAAAAAAGTGTTTATTAATGTTAAAATGCAATTAGGCATGGCAAGCCACATTTTTATTTTAAAGATTCAAAACGTGAGACTTGGATTTATTTTACAGTACTTTATCTTAAAATTCATTTTCATATATTGTCTTCATTTCGATTTAACGTAATATCTTTGACAGGAAGGTTGATTTATACAGATGGAAAACATGTAAAGGATTCAATTGCATTTGATGAAATTGGAGCAAAGCAAATGCCTGCCATCAAACAGGGCAAAGGAAAGGACAAGGAAGCTCCCTTCTTGAGTCATATGGGGACCCCTTTTCGAGGCTAATATGCTCCTGATAAGAACACCTTGAATTACCCCCTGCATGGACTCTCAAGTAATGACCCTAAAATGGAAAGGTAGAACAAAGATGTCAATGTCATGGTGCTTGTTTCTTTTAGAACACCATCACTGAATCGCTAACAACCATTGCGGGTGTTACTGGCCTCGTCCTCTCTCTGGCTTTAATCTTGATCATGACCTCTTCCACCGAGTTCATCCGACAGGTCTCCTATGAGTTGTTCTGGTGCACACACCATGTGTTTATCATCTTCTTTATCAGTCTGGCATTCCATGGGGCCGGGTAAGTCCATAGTGTGCTCAGAGTGTAAGATTTTTATGTCTGTGAACCTCGAAATCATCTTAGAAAGCCCTTTGGATGGAGGAACATGACTGGCAGGGACTAAAGAACACACAGAAGTTACGGAAAAGAGCATCCACTGGGGCAAACACCTTTTTTTTAGTAACTGAAAATAAGCAACATAGATGATGAAGTAATATCTCTATTTTTCTTGCTAACTCTGTTGGGGAATCTTGACATGTTTATAAGATGCAGAAATTTTAATGAATGCTGAGAACAATAGATCTGTGTTTCATTCAGAACGTATTTTTGCAATCCAAATGACGTTAGTCAGGATATGTATTTCGGACACCCAGATGTCGTTTCTGCTTCACCAAAACCACCTACTGGGAAAACCGGTATGGGGGAGGGAAGAGTGTGCCAGATGGCAGTCAGATCAAGGCTCTGCCACTAGCCATCAGGGTGGCCATGTGCAAGTCCTTTCAACTTTATGGGCCTCAGTTTCCCCATCTGACTTCCAGGATTCCTTCTTGCCCAAACATCTCATACAATGCCATTCCAGTATTCAACACTTGCCTGGTGCTATTAATCTCTCCATCAAGAAGCTAGAGTAGCAGCTCAAATACAATGTTTCAGTTCTTCAAAGAGTCTCAAAATGACTCTAGACCAAAACACCAATTGATACCTGTTCACTAGTTTGTCCCACATTAATTATTTCATAAACTGATGCCTTTTTTTTCATTTCACAATTTTCAGAGCACACTCATGTGCATGGTCTGTTTGATCCCAACAACTGTCCTGTCCCATAAAGAGGGTGAAGTTAGCCCTATTTTGTAAGGAGGAAGCAGGTTCGGGGATTAAGCCAGTGCCTCCAGGCACCAGGATGAATAAATGCCGGAGTCAAACGTACGGCACCAGTCTTCAGACAACCCAACCTTTCCTGGTGACCAGCCCTGCGGAACAGCTCTTCACTGGCTCTCTGGGGAAGCATTCCTGACACCTACAGGAATGTACCAGCCCATCCCCTCTTGCACATTTTTCTCCCACCTTTTCGGCTGCTGAGTGAGCCTGAAGGGGGCTATGCTTCCGCCCTGACTTGGAAGAGGCTGGCCACAGAGACCTCGGGGCCTGGCCAGGCACACAGGACACAGTGATGGTGGGGCTCAAGGCAGGATGGGCGGGGGCGGGGGGCAGGGTGCATAGGGAAACTCTGTGTGATTCACCTCCACCACCCCCCTCCTGCTAACTGCTCCCTCAAGCTCAGCCCTCCACTTCTGATGAAGGTCACTTCTGTTGCCATGGCCTAAGCCTGACTAAGAGCTCCCCACCATCCACCAGCTCGTCTGACCCCCAGACGCTGTAGAAGGGTATATGTTACCCTGGGGAAAAACTACCAATTCGTCTGTTCATCCTTAGACTCCTACTCAGTCAATGGTCCTATGTATGCTGCTGCATGGCTGACAGCTTTCTAGTCTTTAAAATCGGCAGTTGGCTCTCCTGATGCTTGATTCCTCACCCTGACTCTTTGTATTTTGTGGAGAAGGGTGGATGGTCCCAAAGTGCTCCACCCCAAAGACAGCCAGTCCCCCTTTCTCTGTGAATTCTTCTGCTGATGCCGGGGCATTAACCCTTACAGCACGTTTGAGAGGCTCTTCATACTCCACATGGGTCTAGAACTCCTCGTCACAAAAATCATGCATGTGTCACCCCAGATCCTGCCTCCCCGCATTCACACAAGAGGACTTCAATGGGCCAGTGTTGCATTGGAGATATTTTTTAATATCCAAATAACATTTCATAAGATGAAATATTTTAGTCATTTTAACTTAGTTGAAAGGCTTATTTTGGGATAAGGGTTTCATTTAATCTTCTCAGCTTGAAGTATTCCACAGCCACTGTTTACAGCAAAAAGTAATTTGCAAATTCTATACAAAATGCCAAGGAAAGGAGGATTATTGGAATGTGTTAAAGCCCACTAATCTTTCTATTATGGGATAGCATAGATGAAGACATAACTATTTTTTTAATTTTTAAAAAGATACTGCATTTGTGAAATGTTCTGAAGTTTAGATAATATAGAGAATGTTACCTAGAGCTTGAGAATGATGGTGTTAAAAATTTATAGAATCTTTTCCTCTGGTTCCTATCTATTATTTGCCTTTCCCATGTCTGGGCTTCAACTGCTCATGGGAGATTCACAGATAGCTATACTCATCTAACTCAAAGGGGTGTTTTGGATGCCTTCCACATCACAGACTGGGACAAAGGCCAAAATGTCAGTTCTCCAGGCTGAGGTCTGAGGTCCCCAGGGTCATTGTCACTCCGTCCTCCAGTGCCCAACGTTGCAAAAGGGGACATGTTGCTTCACAGGTTACAGGTCATGAACCTGGATGATGCTAGAGTTTCTCAGTCTGTGAGTATGTAAGTCAATGTTTTTATTCATAAACACCTAAGAACTGAGCAACTCCCAGATTGCATGACCTCAATTCTTAGGCTTCGCAGCCCGGTGCACTGATGGGTAAACCGAGGAACTTGTACCAGAGCAACTTGTCAAAGGTCAGTCAGTGCTGCATTTGTGGCAAATATAATATAGCAGGATTACAGGACTCTTGATCCAGTGCTCCATTCACGAAGGCAGTCTTCTTTTTTGCTCTCATATTCGTCATGTAGTCCTGAAGACATACTTCCCACTGACCTATTTTGACCCTGTCAAACACTACGCCTGCTAGTGGTCACTGGGGAAAAAAACATCATTATTCAGGGCACTTCTTCTGACTCCTTCACTTGAAAACTTCGAGGTACTCAGAAACAAACCAAAAAGGGTAGAAGTTAAATAAATCTGCAAAAGACCCAAATAGTACAAAGTTAGCCAATTAGCCCGAATCAGCAATCAGGACGAGATGTAACCTAATTAAATTCAACAGTCTACAAAAGGATGTGTTCAAACAATTTCCCTTCATTATGAATTCTCTAATATAGACACTTTCAATTTAACACAGGATACCGCAGAGGGGCACTTCTTTTCTGGGATCTTCAAAGTTACTTGAAGCTTCTTAAATTCCTATTTTTAAAGATGCTGAGAGAAATGAGTGACAGCCCGAGTTTCAAGACCCTTGAAGTGTTATTCCAGAGCCCATTGTAGAATATATTGTAGAATATATATCTGTGGTATCACCAGACTGCAAAAAATCAATTTTAAATGTTTAAGGTTTTGTTTTGTTTTGTTTTGTTTTAATGGCAAGTCGGATTGTTCGAGGCCAAACTCCTGAAAGTCAACTGCAGCACAACGTCACCTTCTGTAGAGATCACTATGCTCAGTGGCAGAAGGTGGCCCCATGCCCCGTGCCTCAATTTTCTGGCAAGGAGCCTTCGGTAAGAGTGAACCCAAGAGCTTTTAAAAAATAGCTGTCTCCATAGTTAAAAGAACTAGAGCTTTATCTGCTTGAGAGAAAGAACAGCCCATGTCACCACTAGACAAAGCCAACTCTTTATTAAGTGTCCTAATGGAAAAATCTAGTTATGGGTCATTTTAAAAGAGGTTCACTGCCAAAAGCGTTCTGTCCACTTTGAAATGTGCTCCTGCACTCGCATTTAACTGTGGATGTCTGTTATAGCGGAATGCACAGAACCGAAACTGCTCATGACCCCATCTCTGGTTTGCCTTCCTCTGCTCTGCAAGGTCATCTCCCCGTCCCCCTGCAGAACTGCCTCCGCCATTCTGGAAATTAATAGCACCACTTCTCCAATGGATGTTAAGCAACAACCAAATGAGGAGAAGCCTGCCCTCTTTATTAAGCTTGCCTTCTTGCTTCCGACAACTTTGGGGATCAAACAAATGGGGATATTAAACGCATTTATTTCCTGTTCTCATTAAGCTCCCATGACTGAAATAATGATGGTAGACAAAAGGAGACCTAATTCATTAGAGTGGACGATAGCATCCACAAGTTCTCAAAAGTAAGATTTCCTGGGCATGCTGTCATCATTACAGTCGGTAGCATAGGTAAATAGAAATAATGACCCTATTTGGTCTCCTCGGGATTCTTCGAACAATGCAAGCTGTGGGGCAGCTGGGTGATGCATAAAAGCGAATCAATGAAGCTAGCAGATTAAAACTAGAAGGAAACAGTGCTCCCAAAATATGTGTCATTAAAAATGGAATAACAGTATGTAAATGCGGGGGATTCAGGAAATGAAGTCATCAGCTTACGAGGACTCGAAGGATGGACTTTTTCTAAAATCCTCGAATATATTAAATTAAGCACTGGATTTTAAAAGTGAAAACTGCTAGGAGGAATGTTTAAAACCGAGAGAACTGGAATAGATGTGCCCATTAGACTGTGGTTCTTTTAATGGTCAGTATAGATTGTCTCTGTCTTAAACTCAACTATTGGTAGCCAAGACCCAGCCTGCATATTAATGAGGAACACGAATGCCTCTCTAAAATCTTCAGCTACCTCGTCTCCATAAAAAAAAAAAAAAAAAAAAAAATCAATACTCTCCCACACTTAATGAATACAGACCAGATCCCGCTCTGCAGCGGATGCTGACATTAATTATTATTAAAAGGGGGGAACTTACCCATCTCTCTGTTAACTCTCCCCTGCTACACCTCCTTGCACACCCAAACTCATGTTGTCACTCTTTCTCATTATTTTTAATGGATCCTGATTCAAAGCATGTGTGGGCTGTGTAATTACTGCTTGGCTGAATGTACAATATTCTCTCTGATGTCTTATAGACACTGAATCCAAAAGGCATCTCAAGGACAAGGAAGGGCTCCTGCGCTCTGCTGCACCACATCTCCCCGTCTCTTCCTCTTTGCCTCTCCTAACTGACTTTTCACAGTACTTTCATCGACAGAACATTTATCAATCCACCTTCAGTGGTGCACTATCGTCCATGTTAGGAGGGAGAATGCTTTTTGTACATCACCGCGAAGATACCGCACTGATCGAGGGAACCAGTTGTTCCCTTAACCCCCTTCTGTCTCTGACTCACGAACACATACGAGGCTCCAGAGTTGAGAGCTGTTCATGGAACGTGTTCTCAAAAGAAGCCTGGTCTTCCTTAGCCAAAGAAGCACCTTATTTTACTTAATTACATCAACAAGTGACAATAATACTAATAATAATAAGGTTAACACTTTTTAACTTATCAGGGCATGATGTCAACAGTAGAGGAGGAAGCTTTAACTGAGTGAACGTCAGCGTAGCAAACTTTTTCTAAATGGCTGTCATGTGCTTGCAGTTGCGGTAGATGCAGGATCCACAGACATGACTCTTTCCCCTGGAAATCTTATTGTCTAGAAAAAGAGGCCGTTTATAAACGTAAAATAAAATCAGAACCAGCATGTTCTTATTTTCTGGTAGGAATGAAAAACCAGGAGTGAAAGTGAAAGAAACAAGTTTCATTATGGCAGCTTTTAAATCAATGTAACTTTATTTCCCATCGTAAAATATTCACTGTACCGTGACTCTTTGAGTATTTTTGGAGAAGAAAAACTAAAGCGAAGAAGCCATAGCGTGTTTGAGCATGAAAGAAACTTCGATGCTACATAGCCCCGCCACTTTATGTAACAGGTGGAGAGCCTGTGACCCAAGTTTTCGTGTCTTCCCTGCAGTCACAAAGGGCATTCCCAGGAAAACCACATCAAGAAACCAGAGCTTCTATGGCCACGAACTCTCACCTCTCCTCTCTTCGGCATTCATTCTGAAACTCCAGGCTTCTCCCACCCCTCACTTTGTCCGCTCTCTGCGGCTCTCCAGGAGAACACACCCCTGACACTGTATTTATCTCTGTGACTAAAGCTAAAACATGTGAGAACCCGGAGGAAACCCATCCAATGATTTTCTCCAACTCTCTCATTTTACAAAGCAGAAAATTTGAACATTAAAAGGCCCAAGATTTTCCACAAGTCATAGGTGGAGGGATAGTAACTCCAAGACCGGAAACCACGTTTTCTGAGACAGTTCAGGAACCCCTCCTGCTCTGCGCCCTGGCCTCCTTCTGTCTTTGCTCACGCTTCCTATCCCAGTCGTGTGCAGGATAACCTAACACTCACCTCTGGCCACTTCTGTCCCTCACTCCCTAACTCCCAGAGGCTCCAGGAGTATCACGGTATACCCAAACTGTGTTTTCTCCTCCTGGAGCGATTTATATACTAGAGCAGACACAGAACCAAGGACTCATAGCTTACATTTTCCTTCCTGACTAACCACACAAAGAAAAATAATCCATCCCATCTTCTTTTTTTTAAGATTTTATTTATTTATTTAATAGACAGAGATCACAAGTCGGCAGAGAGGCAGGCAGAGAGAGAGGAGGAAGCAGGCTCCCCGCTGAGCAGAGAGCCCGATGCAGGGCTCGATCCCAGGACCCTGAGATCATGACCTGAGCCGAAGGCAGAGGCTTTAACCCACTGAGCCACCCAGGCGCCCCAATCCATCCCATCTTTATCAACATGGAAGAATCCGAGACTGTGACTGATTTGACACCCTCAAAATGAAGTGTGTGATGTCTAAAACTTTCTAAAATGGGCATGGAAGATTATTTATAAAAGCACATAGATACTATGTGAGTGTTTTTGCAAATATCTCTCTAAGCTCACACAGAAAGAATTGCATTCTTGCTATCCTTTCTGTAAATATCCAAACCAATTCTCAAAACACTTTGAGGTTGATTCAAGCATAAGAGACTGAAGGATTCATTCCCTTGGTCCAACCCCATCCTTCATGTCTACCCCTTCCCAACTTCTCCCATCCTCTGCTCATCATACGGGCTCACCCACCACATAGGTGGACAAAAGGCTTCATTCTCTCTGCTATTCTGAACACGTCGCTGAGCCCCACTGAGGCAGAAAAGAATAAGTGGGTCAAATTGCTTTGTGTTGCCTGCATAAATCGAGCCTTTATCAGGCCAATAAGAGACCCCCAGGGAAAAAGCAAGGAGGGTTGATGTAGGTGAGCGGAGGTGCTATGCACACAGACCCAGCAGTAAACAGAAGAGAAATACACAAACAAGGTAACAAAAGCAAAAATAACACTGAAGGGCTTGTGACCCGTCCCCAGAACAGACACAACAAGAGAATGGGTAAGACTCACTAGCATAAAAAAGGGTGCGTCAGCTAGAAAGGGTTTAGGGAACATGAGTTCAAAAGGATGAGACAGCCTTCCTGCTCCTAAGGTAGTGTGCTAGTAGGAAGGTTGCGTGCACTTAGAATCCCAAGCAGAGAATTTGGGGAAATTATGAAAGGCTTGAGTTCCAGTCCCGGCTCCCCGGGATCGAGTTCTGTCTCCCTACACCATGCCACCCGTTCCCACAAAATCAGGGGTTTTTTTTTTTCTTCTTTATATGAAGAATTAAGTGAGATTTCAGAAAACATCCTAAAATTCAATGAATTACTGAGTCTCTAATGTTTTGTAAAACAAGGCTCAGCAGCAATGTCAGCACACGGGACAGAAAGAAGCACGATTACATGATAAGTGCACAGGCCAGGCGGTCAGACCCTTCTGGGGTCATGTTTGTCGGGTGCACCTTTGGGACCCCGACAATCTGTTTGATGTTGCTCCGCCTCAGTGTCCTCTTCCTAAAACCAAGAGAATACTATGTGCCTCGTAGGGTCGCTTGGTATCAGACCTAGTATAAGTCTTCAAACATCAGAAGTTCCCAGTCCCTCCCTTCCAGGGGAAGAGGACACCTTACATTTGTGCACAACACTAGCACAAGACTAGCCTGATGGCAAACTGATCATCGGTAATTCAGATTAGTCTCATAAAATCTTAACATAGGAAAGGATTTACTAAGAATGGAAATGTCCGTTGTCACAGTCATCCAGAAGACTGTGGAGTATTTTGTTCTGATTCTATAAACCCACATTTAAAGTTCTGAGACACTGCCTTTATGTCTTATTCCTGATAACATTGGATACCCATACACGTGTGAGTGTGTATGTGTGTGTGTATGTGGGTATGGGCGTGTGGGTGTGGGTGTGGGTGCTTTTTCAGGCAGAATCCCCAATTGTGATGCATTGTTGGCCCAAAAAAATTACTGTTGAAAATGTTTTTATTTAATTTTCCATGACCCATTTTGGCTCAGAAATGTAGCTCTGTAAGCCTTTGACTTTGGCTGAGTTGGGAGCATTTATGACCCTATCATATGTAACATAAACATCAATCTGCTTTCCTATTTCTTTGCAAATTCAATTATTTCTAATTACATAAAGGCATCATTGATCAAGTAAGCATAAAAACCAATACAGAAGAGTTTAATCTCTTAAATAAGCTTGTAGGCTTCAAGGAATAATTGAATGTTATAGTATTTAATACAAGGAGATATCTTTATTGTTGAAAACTGGCCCAAAGTTAAAGGAAAATGTCTGAATCCTATCATGTTATGTATTGATTTGGTTCAAATTGAAAATATTTGGTTTCTATTCTCATTTCCTTTTCCTCTCTCTCTCTCTCTGCTGTTCTCTACAGGCTTGGAAATGGGTTTTAGGCCCTGTGGTCTTATATGCGTGTGAAAGAATAATGAGGTTGTGGCGGTTTCAACAAGAAGTTGTCATTACCAAGGTATGCGTGTAACTTTATGTCTGAATAAAAGCCTGAGTGTAGATGAAAATTTTTTATTAGCCCAAGTTTTTAATTTGCCATTTTTATTGCAGAACTGTCTGTAATTTAGAGGCCCATCTTCTGTTCTAATGATTGCTTGTATCCCGCGCATCTTTTAGTGTGACTAATTTTACTGAAGACAGAGATCAGGGCTCCAGACCGAGACACGGAATTCTGATAAAGGTTACGGAGCCACCCAGGAATCATCCGTTCTGCTTTTTATTTCGGTTTCTCACTGGGGCTTGGGGAGGATGGGCGGGGGGACGGAGTCAACTTTACATTGCCCATGGTCACTTCTAGTACAATCACCTCCTTCCACACGTAAAGATGGTGATTTTGCAAACACACAAATAATAGACAGACATTTTCAAAGGCACACACTTCCACTCGGAGCTACTGAGCAGAGGACAGAGAACGGTCATCCTCAGGTTCAGAGACAGCGGGAGAGCGAGGGTGGGGGGAACCTAGTGAGTGAGAGCCCCAGGGAGTGTTTTCCAATTTGCCCCCCTCCTCACAGCTCTCTAATTTTACCATGTGCTGGAGGAAGACATGAGTAGCTAGACCAGGAAAAGATGTGTAGGACCCTGAAAAGTACCAAAGACCCTGCCCCCAGTGTTTTAAATGTCCAAGAAGAAATGCTCCGCTAACCAAACCTTTATTGCTAATACAATATTAACAGAATCCTCTATCTCCTTAACTGTCTTCATGAAAGCAGATGCATAGAAATTGCTTCATATTTCTGTTTTAAGCTGTTTCCGTGTTGCTGCTTTTAAGTTAAGCACCAAAGGATATCAGGCTATGTCAAAAGCCAGACAGTAAAACTTCTGGAAACCCACTACAGCTGTTACTAGGGAGACAATTTAACAGCAGAATCAGAACAAATATCAGTAGGGAGATGGGAAACAGAACTAATGATTAAAATGCTGTGAGATTCTCTTCCGAGTGGAAAAATACTGTCACAGGATCTAGATATTTGCTTTTGCTCCCTTTCGCCTCCAGCCACAAAAGAAGACATCGGAGCCTAGAGAGATTTCTTTTCAGGAAACAAGATGGAAATGAGTTCTTTCCTTCCAATAAGCAGCACGTGGCAAGTCTCTTTAGTGATGAGAGTCTGCCTGCTGCTTCCTACACCTCAAACTCAGAGTCTGAGCAGGACAGGGGATGAGACCTGACTAAAAACAAAACAAAATGAAATATTTCACAGTGAATTTGGGGATAGTTTTCCATTTAGAATGAGACAACAACAGGGTTAATCAACCAGAGATTTGAGAAAAGACTCAGATCGTTGAAAACAGTACCAGACAGGGCCTACGTTTTAAAACCATGGAGATAGCTCAGTGGGTCTTTTAATAACTCTAAGCATCATTAAGTGCGGGATCTGATATGCTGGATCCTATTGTCTTGATCCTGGCTAACGGAAACTAGCAAGAGCTTGGCCTTTGGAGACGTAAAGTCACATGTCAGACAGCACGTGGCACCTGGGTGCAACTACCCAAATTTGGGATGGCACTCTGAAGGAGATAAGCTTCACGCTTGCTGGAGTTGCCAAGCCCAATATAAAAGGCATGGCAAAGATCCCTGGAAGGAAATAGCAAATGGCAGATGTAAAGGATACCTCAAAAAAAGCGGATTCTAAAATTTAAAAACCTCTGGTGGAACAAAAGCCATTGTCTTCTCCCTTCACCTGAGAAAAAAGAGAAAACGATTGTCTTGCTCTGATTTAGGTGGTGAGCCACCCGTCTGGAGTTCTAGAAGTTCACATGAAAAAGCGTAACTTTAAAATGGCGCCAGGACAGTACATCCTGATCCAGTGCCCATCCATATCCCGGCTGGAATGGCACCCCTTCACCCTCACCTCCGCTCCTCAGGAGAACTTCTTTAGTGTTCACATCCGGGTTGCGGGAGACTGGACGGAAGCCTTATGTAAGGCCTTTGGGGCAGAGGGACAGACCTCGAAGGAGCTCTGCAGCCTGCCAAGGTAGGAGCCTGTTTCTTTTTTACGTATAACTTAGAATAGTATAACAAGGCAATATCTTTATTCTAGATGGCAAATTTTAATCTATTTTTTTTAATTTAAGGACCTATATAAAGAGAATAATTTAGTGGATTTCCAGTAGAAGCAAGTACATTTCTTTAAAAAAAAAAAAAAATAGAATGTTCGACAAAGGCAGGCAGAGATCCAGGAAGAAGGAACATTGTGCTTTCTCAGCTCCAAAACAACACTTGGCTAATTATATGCAGCCCGCGGTGACTAAGACAGCCCTGTGAACTTTTTGCTGTTACAGTCTGAGGTCTTTACATTTGTTATTTTGGTCTTCCTGAGGAGGAGGCTTTACAGGCAGAGTGAGGCTGGAGAAAGAGCTGAACAATGACGGACTGAAGCTCGCAGAGTGATAAAATGACTGGATGGTCCAGGAGGTTGCGCCGTTCAGTCCATCGGTGCTGCTTGTGTGTGGGGCACAAGCACCGGTGACCCCCATTAGGCACCAGAAATAGAGATGACAAAACACTGCCTCCTTTCTCTAGAACTTCGAGAGGCCAAATGCCATCAGCACCAACCTGCAGGCAGAGGATTTAATGTCGCTGCAAGGTCGATGTGCGGAGGGTTGGCCTGGGAAGGGTGGAGAAGCATGCAAGACATCCATATTCATTTCCTAAGGTTGTGGTAACAAACTGGGTGGCCAGCAACAGCAGAAATGTATTCTTTCCCAGTTCTGGAGCTCTGGGGCTGGATCTAAAGGACCACCGGGCTGTGCTCCATCTGCAACCTCTATGGGAGGCGCTTGCTCTCCCTTCTCCCCATTCCGGGGGGTTTGCCAGCAATCCGCGGCCTTCCTTGGCTTGCACTTGCAGCAGTGCCTATCCTTGTCATCACATGATATTCTCCCCTCTCATGTCTGTGTCTCTGTGGCCTCTTCTTGGAAATCTGAGTCCTGTTGGATTAAGGGCCCGCCTGCCTCCTGTATGACCTCATCTTAACACCCCTATTTCCAAAGCAAGTCACATTCTGAGGTACTGGGGTTAGGACTTCAACCTGGCAACGGGGGGACATGATTCAAAGACAACATCTTATTCAGACAAGCCTGGGCCCCAGTGTCAATTACCACTCCTTGGCCCCCTTTGGCAAACAGTGGTTGAAGTTGGTTCCCATTCTCCGAGCAGGATAACCCAAGAAGCAGGCCAAACCCATGTTTAAAGCCCCAGGAAAATGGACACACATAAAAGGGTTGAGAAAAACATTTTGGAAGAATCTGACATTTCAAAAGGAGCATCAAGAGATTCCTTCTCCTGCCATCCTTGGAGGGTGTCAGAAACTACCAAACAGTGGCCACAACCATAAGAAATTAGGTGGTGAATGCTGTCAGGACGCACTTAGAATGGAACTTCCTGGGGCAGGGCACTGCCTGCCCTCCAGTCTATGTCCGGTGCCTGGAACAGTGTTGGACATATATTGCACGTGGAGGAAATACTTAATGAAGAAATTAATGAATACCTAGACTCAGTGTGGATGTTTTAGCTCATTTTTAACAAATATTTACAGGTGGCAAAATAGGCACTAGAATAAATGTAAGGCACAGAATCTAGTCAACATACTGTCCCTTTTTCCTCCCTATCATAGGACACTGAACCATGACTGTAGAGCTGTGGGCTTGCTTGTGTTTACTGGCTAGGAAGAGTCACATGCCTTCATCTCAAACATTGAAACTAAAGAGTGGTATGACAACGAACCAAGTGTAAACATCATCTGGTCAGAACAGAGCTCCAAGTCAGATGGCAACACCCAACTGCTCCTCCATTTAAGACCTTCTCTTTTTAATCATGGAATGGAAGCAATGTCACAACATTCTAAGATTCAGAATGTAATGCAAATGCTTAAAATCAGGAATAAAATTAGACACACACACAAACGCGCGCACACACACACGCACACACACACACACACACGTCCCTGCCCTCCTTTTGGCATTGCCAAGATCAATACTTTCATCCTGTTGCTAGCCTCATCTCTACTCTTAATGTACACAGTTATCTGGTCTATCAACCAATCTTAGCTTTCACAAACCAACTAGCATTTCAGCCAATACCCCAATGAGAACTTGGAACATGCTTCTCAGGAGTCAATAGGCTTACCATCCGCGAGGTGCCTTATCAGCTCACAGCCTGACACGGTATGCCCTCTCCCCCTCCCCCAGGCCTCCCTGGGCTCCCCGCCCCACCTCTTGCTCCCTCCTTGAACGCAGCCATTTTTGCAGCCTTCTTGACTTTCTCCTACACTGACCACACTCTCCTAAGCGCCTTTATCACTGCTGTTCTCTCCACCTGAAACATTCTTCCCCAGATTTCTGCTAGGCTGCTCCCTCACACCCCCCACCCCAGGTATTTGCTCAAAAGTCTCCTAGTGAAGTCTTTCCTTCCTGACTCATTTGAGACAATGACCCCCAAAGGACTCTCAGTAATCACTTTGTCTTGAGCCCTACTTTATTCTTCTGCATAGTACTGATCACCATCTGACATACTAAATAAATATCTGCTCATTTATCTCTTTATGGTATATCTTCCCACACTAGAATAGAAGTTCCATAAGAAAAGGGACATTATCCATGTGTTTCACTTTGTTGTCTTGTCTTTAGTGCCTAGAATAGGCTCTAACTCTTAGCTGTTGCTCAATAAATATTTATGGAATGAATAAAACTGAGTTGTTGGAAAGAGTGCAGTTTCCCTTTGTTGGTTAAATTCACTTGACCTCTGCTTCTATACAGGTATAGGCATATGTATTAAAAGTAGAACCAAAAGAAACCCTACAATTTCTTCAATTCTTTAATACATGAAGAATCAGAATGTTATTGGACTTCTTGAATGATTTTATCTCTTAGAGTTGATTCAATTTTGAATTGAATCAAACATATGGGAGAGAGCACTATAATTTTTCACTGTTTTGAACCCAGAAGGGATTTAAGCCAGCCCCAGGAAAAAGGGGCACATGGGTGGCTCAGTCTGTGAAGCTTCTAACTCTTGGTTTCAGTTCAGGGCGTGATCTCAGGTTTGTGGGATCAAGTCCTGTGTGGGCCTCTGCACTCAGCAGGGAATCTGCTTGAGGGTTTTCTCTGTCCTTTTCCCTCTGCCTCTCCCCGCTCTCCAATAAATAAATAAATCTAAAAAAAATTTTTTAAACAAAAAAAAAAAATACAAGATTTTGTCTTCTGAGGTAACATGGAGGAATTTCTCAGAAATGATGCTAGAGTTTTCAGTGGTTTAAACTGCTGCTTAGAGCAAGGACACCAACATCCAACAGCCTGGGGCCAAAGCCCAGTTTTGGGTGTGGTCTTAGAGGGTGTATATAACTGATGACCTCGGCTTCCTTATCTGTAAAATAAAGTTGATAATCGTATCTAATACTTTGTTTAGGATTAAATGTGACGGTCCTTAGAAAGCCCTTCACATATTGCATAGTTAAAAAAAAAAAGCTTAGTGATTATTATGAGCAAACTAAGAAAGATCACCTACTGCAGAGAGGTCAATGACAGTGATGATGGACAGGGAGAACGTGTAGATGAGCAAAGGCAGTGGATTCAGAAAGTCAGGGTTGGAGGTCAATATGGTGGGTGGGTGTGCGCCTGACTTTAAGCGAGTAACTGCGCCATGAGGATGCTGGAAAGTCTACTCATCTTCTAAGCTGCATCATTAAGCTCTGTGTGCAAATCAAAGAGGAAGTTGCTGAGTGTTATAAGCAAGAATTTGTGCAAAGGAAACCAATTCAGGATTGCAAGAGGTCTTGAGAAATGGAGACATTTTTGTCCAAAAAAACAAAAACAAAAACAAAAACAAAAACCGATCAGGGTGTCATGATAGCCACAATCAACCATTTAAAGGCCTGAGACAAGAAAGGGAAGAGACCTAGAAAGTGTTTCCCAGGAAGGCGAGTGGTGTGAGTCGTCAGAAAACAGATTTCAGGGAGACATGAGAAAAACCATCTCTGGCTTTTGAACTCCCTCTGCACAGAACAAGGTGCCCAGCAATTTAACATCAGAATGGGATCAGCTCTAGGGGTTGTGGAAGGAAGGATTACTATATTAGCAGGGAAGTTGGACTAAATATTTTCTCCTGCCTTTTCCAGCTTAGTTTCTCAATTCTAATTATGTGGAAATGTGTTTATTATGTATTTCTGTGGATTATACGACACAATTCTTCTTTGGATTTCATTGTTATCTTTTCAAATCAATGTCAAATAAATCCCAAATACAACTAATTATAAAAACAATTAACAGTAAGACATTTTAATCCTTGGACAGTTCCTTTTTTTCTTTCTCGATTCCCCTTATCTAATTATTTATAAACTAATCTACGGTGGGCTGAGATACTAACCCTTTCTGGTTAATGACCTTTTATTTTTATTCTTCCATTTCCATATATCAATATGTAATAAAGCCTTATTAATTAAGATTAACTTGAGGAGAGTTAATTTGAATTATTAGGAGGTCTGGCATATGGAATATTTAAAAATAAAACCCAATTGAACTTTCATGAACACATAGTAAGCCCAAATGGGCCAACCTCGGGTGCCTTCAACAGACACCCCTTAGGGAATGGTTATGAATAACTTAGAAGCCTTTTAATTAGCATATCTTTGTTCGTATGTAAATGTGTGCTTTTGGAATAGTTGAGGTTATTTAATACATTCTGCTGACTGAAATATTTTAAACATTCCCTTTACAATTTATTCAACGGATTGTTATTGAACAGCTCCATGCCAGAGAGCATGCACGGCCCCAGGATGTCGAGGGGAGCAAAGACAGACTTGGCTCCTCCCTCCAGAGAACTTGTGGTCCAGTAATTAAGACAGATGCAAATCAGATCATGCACACATGCCCAAAAAACTGTAAAATTATGATGCGATGAGGACTCCAGAGGATAGGCAAATGAGGCTATAAATTATATAAGAGGGGATTTAGCCTAGTGTAAGGGGCCCAGGAAGCTTCCCCAGGGAAATGATGATTCAGATAAGACCTAATGAAAGGATAACTGTTAACCAAGTCAGGAGAGCAGGGAGAAATTAGGACAGAGTATTTTCTGGTTACTTGGGTTTTTCCATGCAAAGGCCCCGGGGCAGAAGGCTAAAAGCCAGCATGGAGAAATGGTGTTGAGAAAGGGAGCAGAATCCAGGGGCTGGTCTATTCTGGACCACATTCAAGATAATCGTATTCATTCAATAAATATGCTTCACCCTTAAAAAGAAAAATTTGCGAAGCAAAGACAAAACATCAGTGCCATTCTAGGCAAAAAACCAGATTTTGAGTTTGCATCATCCGAAATAACAAGTTTTAGAAATTCCATATAACTGACAAGTTATCTCAAAATCACATTTATTCCCAATGAATGGCTTCTAGACTAAAATTATATGGAAGAATTTTTAAAAAAATAAAATTATATGAATATACTAAGAGGTGGAAATGACTTAAAACAGGAGAAGCACAGTAGCAACAGAATAGATAAGCCTTTAAGGCACTTTCTGTTTCTGCTTTATTCCTCTGATAGCAGCTGCAGAAAAGAAAAAAGAAAAGAAAAAGGAAAGGAAAAGAAAAGAAAAAGGAAAGGAAAAGAAAAAGCCAAAGCCAAGGCCTCTTCTACCAGGCTTCACGATGCTTGGAGCCAAAACAAGCGTCTGAGAATTGTGAGAGCTTGCCACGTGGGAGAGGCATGAGCCCAAGCCAGAGAAGCAGGATTTGTCCTTCCGTGAATGGCACCTGCACCGGCCCGTGTGGTCATCCCCCATCCCTATCCCTAGGAGATAGGCCCCCATTTCCCCCTGCTAAGTCCGTGCTCCCCAAACAGGGCACCCTCAAGCACAGAGCCAACTCCCTGTGCACCGTTGTGAACACATCCTATAAAAGACATCGGTTGAGGATGGCTTTGTTTTCCGGAGCAGAGCGTTCTGAGTGTCACAGGACCGCACTTTGTGATTGCAGGCTGGCAGTGGACGGGCCGTTCGGAACCCCACTGACGGATGTATTCCACTACCCAGTGAGCGTGTGCATCGCCGCGGGAATAGGGGTCACTCCCTTCGCCTCTCTTCTGAAATCTATATGGTACAAGTCTGAGTCACAAACCCAGCTGAAGCTGAGCAAGGTATGGAAAAAATCATTAGTTCACACTCGCATGGATTAAAAGGTTCACTATCCTTCTATCTATCATCTGCCAATTCTTGGGGAGGATCTTAATTAACTATGAGGGATAAACTCAAGGATCCTTAACTATACTTATGTTCTTAAAAATCTCCATTCGGCATTACATTTATGAGAAGGGTTGTGTCTAATCTTGTTAAAGATGACAAGACATAAATTTTATTGCTTCATTGCCATTACAAGACACGTAATTGCTCATGTCAGTAAAATATGGACGGGCTGCAAATGGCTTTGTGACCAGGCTACTCTTAGTGTTATTAACAGGAGGCCTTTTCCTTAGTCTCTTTAGTCTGAGACTATGACTCCAAGTGTGCAATTCAGCGTCTTCCTCTCGTGGCCTCAGGGTCTTAACAGGAAGCAGAAATGCCTCAGTTGAGATTCATTGGCCTGCTTGGTTGGTATTGCCAAGCTCCCAATCTTTTTTCTCATTTCTTGAATGTTCTCTGACAAGACACCTCCACAGTTGCCTGCCTTCCTTTGTCCTACCCATAGACAGTCCATACTTTAACCCTCTGAGGAGCCGCAGGAGAAAGGGAGCCATGTTAACACCGAGTGGTGTCCATTCAGGAGGACTCTGGTTGCCAGGCAAGCCTGGTTCTGGGCCTGATTCTGCCACTTCTCTGGTTCACACTTTGGTTCTAGTTTCCTCCTCTAGCAAAAGAGTTTGCTTGATTAGATTTGGTGTCTCTCTAACATGAGTTAGATGTGAACATTACTCATGTGCTATGGTCCACTAAAGAGAATTCTGTGGTCAAAAGAAGCTACTACAATCCCATTCTAGAAGATTCACATCGTCTATTAGCCTATTAAATAAGTTCTGTAGGAAAGAACCTCCTTCAGTTTTGTTTCAGCCATCCCTCCCAAGCTTAGTTAGCCACAGAAAATTTCTCCACCCAGAAGTTATTAAGGAATAGCATTCTTTGAAACATTGGGGGCAATACCAGATCTCTAAAGTTGGGGATCTTCCAACTAAGAAATAAGAGAAAAATCAGCTATCATTTCATGAGTTCCAAGTGACAGGTGCTTGACATACATTTTCTCATTTGATTGTTATAACTCCCAACAACCTTATATAGTAGACAATAGCAAGCCTGCTTTTCACACACACACACACAAAATACCCTGAAACTTAACAAACCAAAATGACTGCCCTAAAAATACATGGGTAATAAAAGGCAGAATGAGGATTCAAACTTAGATCCATCTGGCTCTTTCCATGACATAACAAACATATGGTAGATATGACTGCCACCATTGTATTGTAGGCAGACTGAGGGATCCCTGGCCAGAGAATCCATCTCAGCCTGATTCTACCCTCTCTAGAAGCATCATCTTGAGCAACTCAGGTCACCTCTCTGAGCTGCACAACAGAGAAAGAAGAGTCCGTATCTAACAGGGAGTTTTAATACCAAAGAGGACAAATCAGTAATAAGATGTGTAAATAATGTAATGTAAATGTGTATAAAATGATATAAAAGTTCATTAGAGCTGCCAAAGATGTAGATAGATCGCTAGTACTCCTGCTACTAATAGCTTAGATTCATCAAGCCTTGACTACCTAGCAGGCAGGATGTTAGGCATTTTATACACCCTATCTCACATCATCTTTTTAAGGAACTCACCATTTTTATTCCCATTTACACTTGAGAAAACTAAATCCAATCACAAAGCTCATAGGAATGATAGCATCATAGTATCAAATTATCGTAATTGTTCTTTGGGATAAGTAACATCCTCAGTTTACTACTGAGGAACTCAAAACACAGCTGGCCAATAAATCGTAGAACAAGAGTTCGAATCCACTCCTCGAATGTTGACTCATCATATTTCCTCTATACCACGATAAGTTCAACAAAGTGTCTTAGTCTGTTTGGGCTGCTTTAGCACAATACCATAGACTTGGGTCACTTATAAACAGCAGAAATGGGATTTCTCACAGTTGCAATGCTGGGAAGTCCAAGATCAGTGGACTGGCTGACTTGGTGTCTGATGAGAGCCTGCTTCCTGGTTGACAAGGGACAGTCTCCTGGCTCTAACTTCTCGGAGCAGAAAGAGGTGAGGTAGCTCTTGGTAGTTTTGGTTTGGAAGGTGGGATTTGTTTTTTGTTTTGTTTTGTTTCTGGTCAGCAAGAGTCAAATTTGTTGACTCACTGTTGGCAACTCAATGAAGAAAAAGTAGATACATGGGTTTAGAAGTCTGGAGTCTTTTTTATAAGGGCACTAATCCCATTCATGAGGGTTCCTCCTGTATGAACAAATCACCTCCCACATATCCCACTCCCAAATAGTATTGCATCAGGGATTGAATTTCAAAATACGAATTTTGGGGGACACAGACATTCAGTCCATGGTACAAAACCGGCACAACAGCTTGTTTATTCAGATCTCCACTCCCGGCAATGCTTTGTTACAGTTTATGATGATTTCTCAATCCCCTAAGCATTTTCTTTCCTCTCACTGTCTGCCACGTAAAATCTATCTGCAGAGGCAGTTTCTTGCTTCATGGTTGTCACAACACTAAAGGTCACGTTACATTTCACACATGATGGATTGCTGTCTCACTTTCATTCACTTATTCACTCCGTGAATATCTACTGAGCACCTACTATGTTCCAGACCTTTTGATACTGACATGACAAGCCTTTCACTCTCCTCACACCAGATTGATACCACCTCAACTTTCTCTCAATAACTGTTATTATTGTGCTTTTATGTCATGTTCACAAAGGAACCCATTTCCCCTCATAGATTCTGGGCTCCTTGCATATGGCTTCTTTGCGTATCTTTATAACGAGATACACGAATGCACACACACACATACATATGCACATGTTGCAATTTTTGAATAAATCAATGAGTGAATAAATGTCTTCCTGCCAAATGAACAAATGGCTTCCATGTAATTTTTTATAAAATGCTAGATTACTAAGATTAATTCATCTTTTATTTAACCGAAAAGACTATTTGTTCAGTCATTTTTTTTAAAGATTTTTATTTATCTGACAGAAGGAGATCACAAGCAGGCAGAAAGGCAGGTAGAGAGAAAGGAGAAAGCAGGCTCTCCACGGAGCAGAGAGCCCGATGCGGGGCTCGATCCCAGGACCCTGGGACCATGACCTGAGCCGAAGGCAGAGGCTTTAAGCCACTGAGCCACCCAGGCGCCCCTGTTCAGTAATTTTATAATTCAAACAATATGTTCCAATTATTTTGCTACAAATAGGAAAAATTCTTGTAAGAACCCGTGAAATCGTAAAGCCCATATAGGAACCCACAAGATCCTGATATCACCTCCTCCTTCACTGTTTCATTGTTACTTCTGGGCTCTGTTCATGAGGTTTCTCAGGCTGTTTCAAGTGGGCGGGTTAAGCAGTTACCACCAAACTATAAAACTGGGACATTGATCTCTATCGCCCCCCCAAAAAACCAAAGAATTGGAAACTTAAAAACCAATGTTTTTATAACTTGCAGAAATTGGGGACAATATTGAGTCAATAGTCCACTGAAAATAAAGGTCAGAATAATGCTATGTGGAAGAAAGAAAGCTAAAAGCTTAGAATCACAAAATAATTTGAGAGGTCTTAACCTTCCAGCTTTGCATATGACCCTGAACGTCAGTGTCTGTACTTAGACTGCGAAGTGATTTGTCCAAAGTCATCTAGTTGGTTAGCTACTGAGTCACATTGGGAGCATGCGTTTCTAATTTCCGCTTTCCAGCCTGTTTATGCAAAAAGTGAGATTTCATGCTATTGAGAGTTTACGCTGAAAATTTCGGTTAAGACCACCTGTCTGCGTGTGGGAGAAAAAGTTTAAGAAGTTTTTCTGTTTTAAAGCCACATTGTGTTTCTTTGACTACAGCTATCATTAGGCTTATGTAACTAATATTTGTCAGGACCGCCTACATGTATTTGAGATGTAAATACTCTTTCCATGAAACTGTCGGCATCTATATAATTTTTAAAGTCCAGGAGAGCACAGCAATACATATTCATCCAACAAGTCCTCACAATTATGGATCTGGGCTATAGTTTTCAGATTGTTCTCTTCTGTAACAGACAAAGGGGGAAATGCAGGATAGGGGTTCAGAGCTGGAAATTTAAGCCTGAAGGGTTAACTGCAATCAGGTGGGATTTTCTACCTCCATGCAAGACCAGTTCGCATAAAGGAATACATTTTTTTTAAGATTTTTATTTATTTATTTGACAGACAGAGATCACAATAGGCAGAGAGGCAGGCAGAGAGAGAGGAGGAAGCAGGCTCCCCGCTGAGCAGAGAGCCTGATGCGGGGCTCGATCCCAGGACCCCGGGATCATGACCCGAGCCGAAGGCAGAGGCTTTAACCCACTGAGCCACCCAGGCGCCCCAGGAATACATTTTTTACATACAAACCTGATGTTGCAAGTCCACAATTAAAAAAAAAAAAAAAAAAACTGCAGAGATTTCTTGGTTGCTACCATTGCAAACTACATCTCCTTACCCTTCTCCTCTGCCATGTTATTCTAGAACACTTCTAAGTAAAATGCAGGAGAATAGCCAATAGGATGCCTGCTGCTTCTCTAGGATCATGTGTAGCACTTTCTATTTGAATCTGATGTTTAAAATTTCTTCCTAACTATCTTTTATTTTTAAAGATGGCGGGGAGGAGGGGGAGAAGTGGTTAGGAGGAAATTTCCCAAGAGGACAAAGTAAAAATAAGTAGAATGATGGCTTATGGGGGGCGGGGAGTGGGGAAAAGTTGTAATAAGTGAAAGGGGTATTTTCAACACAAGAGTACAAGCCATTGGGGAGGGTATGTGCTATGATGAGTGTGGGGAAGTGTGTAAACCTGGCGATTCACAGACCTGTACCCCTGGGGAAAAAAAATATATGTTTATAAAAAATAAAATTAAAAAAAAAAAAAAAGAGTACGAGCCAAACTTTGCTTACTTGGAGGCAGAGGAGCACCCGT